TAAAGGTTATACAAGGTCGTTGAAGGTCAACTACGATGGAGAATACTACTTAGATTATAATGAAGCCATTTAAATGTTTCGGAACCTATGGCTAAAGGTTATACAAGGTCGTTGAAGGTCAACTACGATGGAGAATACTACGACCTTGAATGTACAAAACAGGTAAACAAACTGTAACACTTATGGAACACTTTACATCTAGGAATGTAAAATAAAGTCAAAGTGTATTGTAGATAATTGCAAAATTATCATTCTCTAATTCGTATACGTGTAAGCTAGCTTGTCTATTGATCAATATTACTTTCTGTCGTGTTGAAAGCTTCCGATTTGAAAAGAGCGACGATAGTACGATCATAATGCGGTATTAATGTTCCTTCACATTAATGTTAAATATCGATGCATCACGCGAGAGATAACGGGTGCAACAGTAGAATTCTTTGTACGCCTCGAGTAAAAAATTAAAAATATATGCAAAGCGGACGGTCAATAATAAAGTCGCTCCAATTGCTCCTATCAACCGAACGGCACGGTTGGCATCTGTTCACGAGACAAATATTTGCCAAAACGTCGTTGCTCTCGTAACGTATCCGCTTATAAATTAAATAGTGTCTATTAAACTTGGAAAGCTCAGTCAGACAGTATGAACAAGCGCGTCATAAACAAGTATAGTTTATCGAATATATTTGTCCATTTTTTAGACCAAACGTGTTATTCATCTTGCAACTGATTAGAGGACTGAAATCATTGGTAACGATATATATTTGTTGTTGCTACAGTTATTCCTAACGTCTGTTTACACTTCGTACCAGGATAAGAAAACTATGATCTACGTTAATTTTCAATCCCACTAACAATAAGATTGTCGTTCATAATCTATCAATCATCCGATTAAGCTGCACGATTATCTATATATCAAGATGCATCGATAATCGTGTATCAAAATCTCAGTAACTCTTGCACAGTGTGGTCCAGTTGAGAAGCCAATAAATCAATAAAAGCCTACCGTATTGAAAACAATCATCGTAAAGTTTACTTTCGGAATACTTGTGTAAGAAAATCGTTGAATAAACAAAAACTCAATAACCCCAAAGGTTCAACGACTTCTTGTTTGGTCAAAGTATTACTCAACTCCTGGACGTGTATACGTAACCAAGGAATACCTTCTGTTTCAAAAGATAACACAAAATGCGTGTAATGGAGTGTTATCGATCAATAGGGCTCGCCACATTCGTCACGTTGTATACGCTGTCACAATTGCAGCTGATCAAACTAGTATACAGGCAGTTCATAGCGCAGGATATGGGAGCAACTTGTTGATTCACAGGCGTTATCGGGAGAGAATCGTGCAAAAGCAAAACAAACATACACGTACCCCGAAATGCTTCCAAGTCGAGTAACTTCGGTTCGTTATTTTCGTTCAGCGACGCAGAATAATCCCGTAAAATAGTATTTGAACTGGGACCTGTTTATCGTCCGGTGGGGGGGTCAGAGACCCACCTGGTCGATGCCCGTAGCCACTGTCATGATCTCTCTCCGCGTCCTCTTCTCGTTTCACCTTTGAAAAGGTACCACTAACGTACCCCGTGGCACGCACACAGGTGCGAAACGGTTTAGAAGCACACGAGAGCAGTCACTCACGCACAACGTGGCAACGCGCGCGCACGTACACAAACACATACGCACACCCGCGGAATTCACAGTTCACGGATAAAGCTTCTCCTTTCTCTTCGCATTCTTTGACATCTCCGTCCAGCCTTGTCCCTTTGTAGATAGGATCCTTGTTTGCTCGCAAAGAGACGAACGGCTCACGGATAGGCTTCCTTCTAACGGTTTTGGGCGACGATAGAACCGAGATACGATAAGATACAGAGACAAAACGATATCGAGATAGCTCGTTTCGACGGCACCGATCGCGCGTCCGAATTAACGCTCTCTTCCTACGCGAGACGCGCGCTTGTCTGCCACACGGTGCATCCCTTCTCTTGCTACTGTCCTCTCCCTCCATTTCGCTGCTCCGTTTCGTAGTCTATACTCGCGCTTCGTATACAGGGTGGGGCATTTAAAATTGGACTCTCGTGTAACTACCTCGCGTTTAAATTTACGACAACGAAACAGGCATACTAGTCGGCCTAATTCGCGAGTGGGAATATGACGATGATGAACCTCAAGATTATCGGTTCTTTATTTCCCAGCACTTATTTTATACATTTACATTTTCTCAATTTGTGATTCGAGTTTAGATTTTCATTCAGGCGATAAATTCTACAGCGTAGCCCGATATCTTGTATAATTTTAAGTGTACGACAATATTATGTTAACAACCGTTGGTATAGGAAGTAGTTTTGGATGGTATTTAATAATAACAAAATTAACAAATTCTCCCATTCTCATTCAAGAAAAAATAACGTCCTTCCATATCAAGTAGGATCAGTAGGTACCATTTTTAACGAGTCAAGTCTAAAGCATTGGCGTTCGGATTGATTTAACGATTAACTTGTTACGTAATTCTCAAATATTAAACATCTACTGCTTTCGATAGGGGAGTATAACTGAATTCTTTTATACCCGTTTTAAGAAGACCTCTTTATCCTTGTACAAATACGACGTTAAGGGGCTGAACTTGACTGATCATCCGCCCCATGGGTGAGTCACACAATTGCCAGCCTCACTGGCGAGTCGATAATTTTTATCAACTGCGAAACACAATTGGACACGATCGTGTGCGTGGAAGATAGGGACGGTTTCTGTTTCACGCGCCGCGTTAATTACGCGTCTTGACAGATTTTGCAATCAATGATACTTTGTTGTCAGTGGGTTAATGCGTGTGGTTCTAATGCATACCGATAAGATACTTAGAAGAACATGTTATTGATAACAAATTGCCGCATAATTACAATTACACAGTTATCAAAGCATTCCACGTTACTGATCGTCTCACAGGTCCAGTCCACAGGTCACAGGAAGGGAAGGTTTCCAATAAAGGCATGATGTATTATATTCTTATCTTATATAAAAATGTTGGTGCGTATGTCTGATCATAGCGGCTAAACCACTGAAGCTATCCACCATATACAGGGTGTCCAAAAAATGTTGAAGGTCCTTGAAAGGGGTGGTTCGGGAGGTGATTTGAAACAACTTTTTCCTTTGCAAAAATGTCGGATGGGGCTTCGTTAAGTAGATATTAATAAAAAAAACCCGACCAATCAGAGCGCGCGGATACCGTTGGAGCGGCCACGGTAGCGAAAGCTACGCGCAGAGCGGCCTCGTCAATATCCTTCGATCCACGTCGAGTCACTTGTTCGCGTACAAGCGCGGTCGCTTAGCTCGTAGCCTTCGCTACCGCGGCCGCACCAACGGCATCCTCGCGCTCTGATTGGTCAGTGTTTTCCGTTAATATCTCCTCAACGAAGCCTCGGACAACAATTTCGCTAAGGAAAAAGTTGTTTCAAATCACCCCCTGAATCACCTTTTTCAAGGACCTCCAACGTTTTTGGGACACCCCGTATTCACACCATATGCTCGCGTGGTGCTCCGGATTATTTTTGTTTGTATTGGCTCCTCTAGGTGGCGCTACATAAAATGATAAAGTTGTCCATTGGTTTCTTTATACGTGTCTCTATTCGTTAGTCCTTAATGTCACGATAATTCATAATATTATTTAACCGGACATTATTTAGTCCTGTAAATAATTTATTTAATATTCATTATCCGTCATCATTTATGACCATCTTTTTCAGATGCATATAGAAATCGATTTAAGATTTAAAATGATAAATGTATATTATTATCAAGAGCAGTGATTTTATGAATCAGTAACCACTGTAACCAGTCGTCATTCGAAACCATAAATGTTATCCTTCACGACAGATAAGACATCAAAGTATTTGCGAACACATAATCTCATGAATGGAGTGGAAGATCTGCGCGTAACGATGACAAGAAGTTAAAATTGAAACGTGAGATATATTAAAAGGGTGTTTTAATCTTTGTGCCCATTTTTAGGAGCGAAAGTTTGATAGCCATCGGGTGTCATCTGACACTGTTTTAAGAGAGCGACATTATGGGGGAGTGTAGCAAGCCCTATTAACACGTTGGCTGCCAAGCTAAAACTCGTAAAAATTTCAATAAAGCTAAAATTTTGTCTAGAAACTATTAAAAATTGGATAGCTTAACATCTGTCGTAGTATTTAATTTTTTAACGTCGTCAAATTTACGAATCCTGTCCAGATTTATTTTCATTATTGTCTTATCTTTGAAATTAATTTTATTAGTTCCTTAATGACAAGGCCTGTCACCCATTTCTGGGTGACGTGGCGACCAACATGTTAAATCGAGGACTTACAATTAGAGGAAAGGTGATACCGATTATCAAAGTTTTACTATCCATCACGGTTACGCTACTCCCTATCGTTGCACCAGGATACCGTGGATGTCTTTCGAAGATTTCCCCTACGAAGTAAAAACAACTCGATGAAAGCACGTGAACGCCGGCTGAGTATTTTAATGAAACCTTTATTAAGACTTTATCGCGCCAAAGTCAAATAGTGACTTTGGCAATACAAACAGGTAAACGTTGCCCCGAGAGTCCTCGATGCAGATGCACACCGAACGATCTGTTTCGCCGTCAAACGAATTGTACGATACGTATTGTATATATAATTACGAAGCGTTCGTTCAGCGAATCGTAAACGATACCGGTTATCAAGGAACGGAAGCCGCGATGAATGAACGACTGAGAACCGAACAAGCACTGTTAACGATGATTACGGAGTGGCCGATATCAATTGGCCACTTTATTGTGAATTATAAGTAAACAGACCAGGCTCGCCGGTTGAATCTGCATATTGAGTGACACGACGCAGGGCGGATTCTACTACCTTAAATCACAATGGCGACGACAAGTTTATTCGTTTACTTTGTTTTTTTTTTTTTTTGTTAATTATATCCTTAAGATTGATCGTTACGTACGTCAGAAGACGAGTACGCGACACGCGCGTGCACGGGCTTCGAAATCCGTATACGTGTGAGTGCGTGTGTGCATCACGATGCGAATTCGTCGGTGTAGCGTGTGTAGAGTGCGCAAACGTGTCATTTATGTCAATTGGTTGCGCTAATTTAAGGGCGACGTTTAAAGCAACTGGATTGAATATTTTCGAGCGGCTTCTTTTTATACGAGCGACTAGAAAGGCGATTTCGTGATAACGTCTAAACGATTAAAAACAGATTCAGAAATATACAAAATTCTATAGATCAAATTGAAATGATTTCGAAGAAGACATTTTTTTCTCCTGGAATGACCTTTTAGAAACTGTGCATTTCTGGGATTTAATCATTGAAATATCGACCCTCATCAAGTTCAGAATGAACCTTCAACGATAGAAACTGCTTTCGACCATATTAGTATCAATTATAACGTCTTCGATTCATCTCGGTATTAAAGAAATAAATGTTTCGGTATTTCTAATATCGAAAAAGCAATTTTTAAAGAGTCGTTACTGGTAACACGTTTGACTTACTGTACAATCACGGAGAGGAGCGTCCGACGAGCACGTATCAATGTTATTAATCTAAAGTACGATAGAACAGTCGACAAACTTTGGGACGGTGTTAAGGATGAGCGTCGCGACGCTCCTCGACGAATCGCCGTCGAGCAGATGCACGGAGAGGGGTTGGTTGTCCCGGTGGCAAGCGTTCGCGGTGTAATCGTTTTTAAAATCCTTACCGTTGTAGCGTTCGTTCACGGATTAAAGTGTGCAGAGCCCAAAAATTCCGCGTCTCTCGCTGTCCGTTCGAACCGTAAAAAAATATTCAACCGTGCGAGCCTCAGGCAATCGTACAATGTTCGTTCTCCGATTCCCTGCCAAGGAAATTGGTAGAACACGTCCGTACATACTTTCGTATACTGTCGCCGACGAGATCGCTTGCCACCGTTTATGCAAATATAATAAATATATATATATGCGCCGTGCACACGCGTAATTGCATCGCGACTTTCATCTATCAAGAGGAACGATCGATGGAATATATATATATATATATATTTATGTGTATTATAGGTACAACCGGAACACAGAGAGACAATTGTTAAACAACGCAGCCGATCCTTAACTGACGATATTTTCTGTGTATTCGTGACATATTTGAGAAACGAAAAAACTAAGGAACTAGTAGTCGTTGTAATAGGACTGTTTCAAAGGTTACTGACTCGTAGATATTAATAAGTAATAACGATACGACACAATGTGCAGATTTAGAACGGTTTAGTCAATGAGAGAATCGCAACGAAGTTGGAAACACCGAACAAGCATGATAATTAGCAAACAGAATCTTTCTTTACTCGAGTAACTTACACTTACACGTGTAATAAGTCTCTTTTTTGAAAAGACCTAAGAGAAATCATTTCCTTATATATTATTATTGCATTTATGTTTCTGTTACGTTACTGAAACTGTAAAACGATCCATATAAAAAGAATCAGTATAGCCTACCGTAAATTGAAAGATGCACGAAGAATGCTACAAAAACCGAAGACTATCGAATCGAAATAAATCCTCGTTCGACGGAGCGTCGAATCGTTTCGTCAGTTAACGATCGATCATGGCGATCCGCTCTCTCCCCGTTTTCCCTCCAAAATTGTCTACAATCGGGAACACGTGGCAGAGATCAGAAGGCGAGAAGACGGTAAATATAGAGTGAAAGAGATAGTCCGAAGAGAAAATCTTTAGGCACACCCACACACATACACATACATTTATATATATAATATATATATATATATAATATATATATGCGTAGAGCGCAAGAGTCTTCGTTTTTCGTGTTTTTTTTTTTCATTTTTTTTTTTGCCATTTTTATAATTTCATACTTAATACGATGAAGCAAATCGTAAATCCGGACTCAGATTTGCCAGTTGCGTTCGATCGAACGCGAACGCGCGGGACGAGGCGACGCCGACGCCGACGCGCTCGAACGACCGTACATTTGAACAGGGCGCGCCTCTATGATTAGCATTCCTCTCGTGATCGGTTTCTTCTCGTTTACGATAATTCAAAAAATAAGTTATCAGAGTACTTTGTACTTGTCAAAAAGCCGATCGATGGTCGCCAGAAGCTCTCGTACGATGTCCGATTCGAGCTAGGGATGCTCAATTCAGAAAACGATTCTTCAAATCAATATTACACACGTGATTTTTAACTCGTTAAAGCGACCGCTCCTACACCTGATTTTCTATTTTGGAATGTCTGACACTTGATTTCTTTCGGTCTCCCGTAAAACGTGGATTTCTTTCTCCCTTACGGCAAGAGCAAGTGTTATTTGCTGGAACTTTTACGTTTTTCAGAAACGTGTATATGTAAGATTATTTATCGTTCATCGAACGTGGCCTGGCTATCCGTAATATCGTTTTAGGCAAACCTCAGCCCTATCTAATTCCATTTCATCGTTTTTTTCCAACCACGCGCCTATCATGTTATTTTTTCCTTATTGTGTTTCCCTTGTCCAATATGTCTACCACTTGTCCAACTTATCCGATATACACGCAACATAAATATGTAAGCTAAAATTGATTCCAGAATCGATTTCATCCACGAGAATCGAGCATCCCTAATTGGAGCAAAGGAAAAGCCTAATCTCGTCGATCGCCTCGCCTCGACGTTCGCCGCTTATTCACTCGTGTCAAGACGGACTCCTTAAAATTGCTCGCTTCTCCCGTACGATTCGCGCGTCGTTAATAATTATAATGTAATTAATTACGTCGTAATTCAATAGCAAATATATTATCACATTTAGATTGTATTAATGTTTAAGACGTTCGGCCGGACGTCCTTCGACAAATTCAGCACCTGTCCTCTCGTTTGAAAAATTTACCGAAAAACTTACCGCGATTCGCGTCTCGACACACTCGAGACTAGAATTGGGCAAGATGCGTCAACTAGTTTCTGTAAACTTCGTTTAAATAAGAATTTCAACCATTTCATATCGAACGAATATAAAAGTTTGTTCGGTTGCGTAAACGTCACGAATAAATTGTTACGTGTAACATATTCGTTGCGTATTGATCGAATAAAATCTTGCCGATCTCTTTTCGATATATATCTTGACACCGATAGTAGTACAATCAAAAAGATAAGAATTTCATGATTCATCGTGCAAATAAACCTCGTAGGTACTTTTATCCTACATGTACTTCTATTAGTTTTACACTTGTTTGCAAACAGAGACTAGAAGAAAGTTCGAACGAATGCTCGTCGAATTTAATTTTTCGGCTCTTATCGCCATCGATGTCAAGAAATGATATCGTTACATCACGTTGAGTCATCGGTATCGAGCGTGTCAACGCAACCGAAAATAATCTTGCCTCGACTCGAATCCCGGTTCTTTCTCGAGAGATTCGTCGAACCTAACGTTCGTTCTAACCTCGTAATTTAGTTTAGGCGTCAATTCCTCGAAGGTTTCCAGAATCGACCAACCCGATGGCTTCGCGTGGATAATCGCCGAGAGAACCTCTCGTTTTGCCCAATCGATCAGGAAATTTGGCGAAAATTGGCGCGACAATCAATTAGAATAAATTCGTAGCTCGCGAAATATTGCTTTTCAAACGAGAGCGTCACCGATTGGACGATCGTCGACGAAAGCCCGCGATTGATCGTTCGTGTACGTAAATCTAAGAAACATTAATATAGAATATATTATCGTGTAGTTTATATATAAGGTATACGTTAAGACACTTACCATCTACTGCAAAAATTCAACAGTTAAAAGATTGTAACAACTAGTTCGTATTTCGTACGAGACAAATTCGCTCGACGAGCATTTTCGTTCTGATAATAGTTTTTTTTTTATATATATATATAAGATCGATTGGCGTGTCTAATTAATCGACTAGCGAAACGGAAGAAACAGAGGAAAATACTCGATCGAGCGATTCTACTCGTCCGCAGCCTCCGTCTCTCTGTTCTCTCATTCACTTAAAACGCTACACTCCTTCTCCCCGATCTCTTGCTTGGCGTTGTATTTTTTTCATCCTCCGATTTATTTCTTCTTTTCATTTTTTTTTTTTTTATTCTTGGCACGCATTATCTCTTACTATTGGCACGACATTTACGAACAATGAGCTTGGCTAGAATTAATTCGAATAAATCCTCGGACGCACCTGAGATCGATCGCTCGAACGATACGATGCAATAAAAAGACCTTTGTTACACGCATATATGCACCGTATACTGCAGCGAGTGTCTTTGTTATTCGGACACTTTGCAATTTTTATATTTGTTGCTCTATAACTTTGTCCAAGGGTAAAATGATCGAGGTATATTGCATCGAAGCATTTTTATCGACGAAACGAGTTTTATTAACGAAAGCGTAAAGCTTTTTTAACTTTATACTTTTGATAACTAGACTCGACGTTTTAATGGCGTATGTATCGCAATTACCTGAAAATCGCAAGAAAATCTTTATGGGCAAAGTTATAGGGTCGCAACGTGTAAATTGTAAAGCGTTCGAACTTCAAAGTCACCCGCTGGTATATACACCGTATACTACATATGAATGCCAATAAATCGTCACTCGGCTCGAGGAGGCTCTACGTCCATTCACGAAAGGCAATTCCTTAAAGCAACGATCGTGATTACCTATGCTCGTGCGTCTCGCATCGTCTCGAAAGTAGCGATGGGACCGAACACGGACAAAATTTTCGTGCGAATATGTTACGGTAAATGTAATAAACTGTGGATTATGCATAATCGCCGCATTTATGGTAACAAATAAATTTCGAACAACGAATTAAAGGTGAACGATTCTCGAGTCGTTGTTCGTTCCACGAAAGTTGCATTCTAAACGATAAAATAACAGATGGAGATATTTCGCGGCGAACGACTAAAAATTGAATGGTACGAGTACAGTTTGAGTAGGAACGAGCGGATCGTTGGATCGGTCCCGTCGCTGCTCGAGAGGATCCTGAGTCCTTGACGTTATTCCCCGTGAAAAAATCGTCCATGGGCGAGCTTTTTATGCAACGTCAACGAAAGGAAAGCGACGGACGCGGTCTGCGTCTCGGATACGCTCGCGAAATCTTAAAGGCTAGAAATTATCTAAACGCGGCCGTGGACCAATCGTTCTAAATGGAATAATCAATCGAGCGGTTATCAAAAATAGAATATCGTTATCGTGTACGATACACAACGCATCAGTATATACCCAACAATCAACAATCGTCGTTCCGCGATATCGTCCGTCGGGGGATATCGCAGTGCGTCCGGTACCAAAAATATTACATCTCACGTAGGAGAGCACATCCCATCCATGTGCGTTTACGAAAGTCCGAAAAAACGAAAGGTTGACGACGATCCTCCTCAGCTCTGCCTCCCTCTACGCGTTCAACAAGGGAACTCCGCTAGCACACACATGTAAAATCATGCATATAAAAAGTGTCGCGTAAACGCTACATATGCCGTCGTGGAATAAATCCCTTACAAATATAAAGTATCATTTAAATACAATGTACACATATATCAAAAGCAAGAATATGGACCAGTGGACGTGATTCGTGGTACAATTGAAACGGGTAATGATTTCCTCTGCGACGAAGATAATCAAATTTCTTATTCGATCGATAGAAATTCCGTTCGGAAATTAAATATCGCGTTGGACGAATGAATATTTATTTTGAGGAATAAGTCAATCCGCAATGTCTTTATTCGTTGTAAGTTCGTAATTAATTTTCTTTTGTATTTTATTGGACGTATTTTTTGCATAGACTGGACTGATAGCTTTGGCCCCCATGATCTCTTTTCCAATTTGATCTTTGATTATGAAGTTATATCTGGACTGCGGATTTTTATGCACGAATGAAAATGTTCATAAATGCAAAAGTATATAAGCTATCAACGATAACACACGTGTTACACCGTTTAGAATATGGGACAAATTTTTATTTAAGCTCAAATTCTTTTCCTGTATTTATAAAAATATGAATTTGCGTGAACATCCACGGCCTAGTTATATCGAATGAAATAATTTCTTTTCGAAGAGGTCAATGACGTAATCCATACCAAAAGAAGTAAATATCTTCCACGATTAAAAGTCGATCGCTCAGGCGTCTAGATAACACGGGATTCGATTGATATTTATAAATAAACACCAGATGTGTTCCACATTTCCGACTTATTTTTACACGCGTAGTCACTCCCTTTCCGGTTGTACTACAATTCACGTCACACCTTATATATGTACTGTACACGTACGCGTACAGAGAAAAGTGCGTATAATTTTCTTTAGTAATGCTTGCAATTGTAGTTACGATTGATCGAAATTCGGTAACGTTATCGGGAATTCAAAGCGGTCAGAAATCGATTCTAATAAAATAGATGTAAAAAATGAACTGACTACGTGGACAGGCACACGCTGCTTAAAATAATTAGGAACAAAAGTTACGCCGAAAACGACAGTTCGAAGAAAGAATCAATTATCAATTTTCGTTGGAATTTGTTCACGGTTTCGATCAATCGTAACGATCTTGAAGAAATTCAGTCGCTTCGGGGGACAGATCTTCGTTTTTCTGAAATGCGAATACAGGCGTCTCGGACGAGAAAAAACGTAGCTTACGATCGCGGCCGTAACGTTGCGCATCGAAGAGCATAGATCCTCTTACAATGCCTCGTTATCTTCCCCATAAAATCCGTTACCCGCTAGAACGTAGTTATGATACATTAAAAATTGACACACATTTATGTTATATGGATCGGCTTCGGCCTTATCGCCTCTTCTCCCACCTTTTCCATCTTTTTTTTTCTTCTGCTTTATATAGCAGAAAATGTACGGTAGAATCGTTTGGGGACGGTCTTCGATCCTAACGAGGAAAAAACTTGCCATTTATTTATGTCTAACCTGCGTTAAGTGAGGATAGAATATGAAGCGAGTGCGCGCAACGAAAACTCGCGTCCGCGGGACAACCATACTCTGCTCGCTGGCTCACACTTACGACTTACGACTTAATCGAGACACACGAAATGTTTACGATTCGTTGGAAAATGTCCTGCACTCTGTATAATTATCGCTAATCAATCATTCTCTCGTCCTCTTCGTATAGTTGAACCATCGTTCGAATGGCTAATGTAAAAACGTTAAATGATGTTACTTGAAAGTATCGTTATCGTTTCCCATGTAATTTTTGGGGGTTACACTTATTGACCACAGCAGAAGACTTTCGAACCTCTTATCGCTATCTCTATGAAATTTGATAAAATTCACTCTTCCCTCGGTTAACGAACATATGGTACGCCATAACTGTTTGCGAAACGCGATACCACCGCGTTACGAATGGTACCGCGTTTTCGTTACCACGCTGAACGTAATAATCGCAATGATGATAATTAGCAATAATAACAGCGTATACCGTTAACGATAATACGGTTAACAATCATAATTACAGCTCGGACAATTATAATGCGTAGGAAGAGCTACGATACAGGAGGGTGCGAGAGTAAAATTATGTTTGCAAAATAGCACCTTTCGCGTAGGCCAGAGATCTCGTGCTGGTGTCCAATTAGAACCTTAGAGCGGTACTTGAGATATTTAACGCTTTCGTAGTCGATATTAACAGAGGCATCTGGGTTTATAACTTTGAATAGGATACTCTGATATTTGGACAGTAGTGCAGTTAGGTTCTTCAGTAATCAGAGGATACAGAGGATACCGGCATCGGTTGTGTATCTTGGATCATTTTAACCTGTGCTCGTGTCACGGTTCATTGACTGCCAATCAAAAATAAGCAGAAGGCATGGCTCACTGATCGTCGATGGAAGATGTTACGATTGTTCGTCTGAACGATCAAAAAACAGGGAGGAGCGCGTTCCAGATAGAGGATACGAAACATATCCTATATACTACTTAAAATATTAACTTGGTTGAATGATTAGCTCAATTTTTTAGAATTTTGGGGTGCACGAGCGTCTCTTGGCCATCGGTACGGAATAGCAGTCTTCAATAACGATCCTCCGTTCGAATCAAAAGGACGATGACGCTGATTCTACTTTCAGTCTTCCACTTAGAGCTGTCCGAGAACTCGAATGCTTCGAGCAACTCGGTTTTTCCAACCGACTCGAATACAATCCAAGTGATCAGGTTTCATCATTAAAACACTCGAATGCGCTTCGAGTAGCTCGACTATTTCGAGTGGCACGGAAAAATTCAATTGCTCGAATATATTTATTCTAATTCCTATTTCTCTATATGCAAAGAGCAAGTCCCATTTGAATACATAAGAGAAACGATCATTCGAAGCAAGTTTGGAATCGAATAATCGAAGAACTTCAACGAAAGCAACGAGTCGCTTCCCTAAACACAGAGAATGCAATAAAATGCAACCGTTACGGTGTATGTGATAAACTGGGGATTATGGATAGTCACCGCGTTTATCACATTCACCGTAGCATAACTATTATAAAGATACCAGGCCTGGTCGATTAATCTAAGCTTCGTGTAGCGAAAAACTACGTTAATAAATATAGAAGACACTCTCGAAAATGAGAATAAGTAGAAAAATAGGAACTTCAAGTGAGAATTGAAAGCATCTCTACAATAGTAACGAAGTAAAGGAAATTTCTCTGTAAATCCAGTCTACGATTCTAGCACCATTGCGCAGCATTATTCCCGTTCATCATCGTCTGATCAACGGATGAATTCCGACAATTAAATCGACTAATATAAGATTTCGTTAGAATTTGAAGATTAGATTAAATTATCGATGTTCGCATGCAATTATCTATATGTTTCTTATTTACTATGGGCAAACCTTATCATCACTAGTCAGAAGTTGCACTCGTTTTGTCTTTCTTATCCGCGTCACGTTTCGTTCTCCAGTGCTTCATTAGAATTATATACAGAACTGTGCCAAAGCAAGATTTCAAACACTTTCAAGTGACGAGCGAAAGTCTACCGAGCTTTCAATGAATTGTCTGCAATTATAGCGTCATCAAGAATACACATTCTTCGTGAATATCGCTAATCGTCAACTTCTGACCGCTCGAACCGTCACTGATTCTCCCACCTGACCCAGACAACAAATCTCACGTATTTACACTGCCTCCGCAGTAATCCGTGGGCGCAACAATTACTTTTGTCTCGAGAAGATTGCCGCCCAGCGATTTCGTTGGGTTGCACCATACGTCGTGGCGGTTTTTGTCAAATTAACATTTATCCAGATAAAATTAAACATTTTTACGAAACGTTGTACTCCTAGCTCCAACGAGTTAAACGCTATACAACGTTTTGCTAAAATATCTATTAGGGTGAACCAACAGTTCGTGCGTTTTTCAGCTCGTTTCGCTTCCAAAATTTTCCACGATTTTACTAAAACGAAAAACAATTAAACGATCAATAAATTAACTAATAATTCGATACAAAAGAGATTTTCAAAAGCTACAAAATGATATACAACACTCGCATATAAAGTAATTTTAACGACTTCAAAGAATAGCACAAACTGAAACTATGTAAAAAACGCAGGAACTTTTGGTTCACCCTAAGACGTCTATCTGCATAATTGAAATTTGTAAAAGACCGCCACACGTGGCACAACTAAATATAAATATCCCTTCGAGAAAAGTCGAGTATTCGTGAAACATATCGGAATGAAATCGAAACAAACGCGAAGTCTCTTCTATCGTTTCTCGAGACATCTTCGTCGACGTGGACGTCGTTCTTCTGAGCAGCTTGAACGGTGACGGCACGATTGGCTTTGCCGATGTAAAACCTCCGCCTCCGCGATTCTAACACCTAGGTCGAAGTATTGACAAAGTTAGGACGTTGCAAGGGGACGACGATCGTGTTTCGATCGGTTGCTTCGCTAGTTGGTGGACTCCGTGTTCGAGGACGGCGATGGTTCTGGACTCTGGACGAGCGGGGTGTCCCTTCCGATCGTGGGCGTTAACAACATACCTCGTGGACTGAACGTGTCGCAATAGAGATTCTCTTTTTTGTGGACTCGTCTTACGTGGCTTCGTAGGTTGTCGCGACGGGCGCTTCTGTACGCGCAGTGCGGACAAAGGTGAGGCTTCTCGCCCGTGTGCATCCGTCGATGTTGAATGAGCTGAGGTAAGTCAGAGAGATCACGAATTAATTTTGTTTGTTCTTAAATATTATAGAGTGTTTTGCGTTTAATAGAAAAATTGATGCTTGAACTTACTTTTCAGGTAAGCAGATATTATTCTCGCTCTCAACACGGCGAATTCAATTTATTCGTTATTTTTCCGACTTCTCTTCATGTTCTTTTTTAAAAGATGTTTAAACTAATTCAACGAGAATTTACAATTCGGCGAAATTGCGTTCAAATTGTACATTTCTATTGGCGTGTACGGTACGTATTCGGAATTGGTCATTTGTATAATTGCTACCTTATTAAATGTTTGTGTATTTCAGTAAAATAACCTTACGTAAATTCTTGTTATCAAAATTCCTTTCAATAGCTCGGGTACCTCGGGATCGCTAAACCCGTACTGTAGCTGCGGTCAAACACAGCAACAGCGCCCGAGGGTGTTCATTTATTTGGCCAATTACTTCATTGACCACGCGTACAACAAAATACGAACAAGACATTGTATCCCATTGTATGAACGTAAAATGAAATTAAACGGCTAAGGCTGTTTCCATTTCCAACTGAAACACGTCACGTTAAAATTTTCAAACGCGAATCGTAATACTCTTCCCCGCTGTAAATCAGTTTCGAATGCACGGGGTCGCGACGCGTTCCCGTTTCTATTTACATAAAGCGATATTTTCGATTAAAGGAGGGGGAGCAGACCGCATCCAGGTATCCTACAAAATTCAAAAGGTCCGGCGGAGTATCGTTGGATTTACGATCGACCGGGGATTATACGGCTGTCGCGCGGATGAAAATCTAAAAACAATTCGAATCCATAGGTTTTACTCGCCGTCCCGTGTTTTGAAATTCTACCTGTCGCGCGGGAGCCACTTCGATACTCCCTCCCCCCCCCTCCCCCTCCCCCTCCCTCCTGCTCCCACCCACCTTTCACCGACGAGAGAAATATTACCTTTTTCAGTTGTACCGTGCGAAAAATGCAAATATCGCAGCAGAAATAGCGATCGTCGCGATGCCTTCTCATGTGTCTGCTGAGATCGACTTCGGACGATCGGTCGGCTCCGCAAACCGCGCAGCTCACCCTCGTCTCGGGTGCTGGGCCCTTCGCGTGTGCCCTCAGATGCCTTTGGAATGCCTTCTCGATGGTGCAAGCGTACGAGCAGAGCGAGCAACGGTACTCCTCCCTTTCGTATCTGTCCATGAAAACGCATCATAAGTCGGAATTACCAGTGGTCACGGACACCCAAAGCTCTATTCGACGAAGTTTTCATACTCGAGTTTGCTGTTGTTACTCCTTTCTGTGTTAGTTACGTTAGTTCGTTCGTGGATGCCGCCTATAGACGGCAGTGGTACAAAAAGGGTTAATTTATTTTCTTATTCGTTGCTACATTGTTTAACAAACTCGCAGGAAATCCAGTATTCGTTCCGAATCGAGCTTCGCGTGGTCTCGCGCCGTCACGAGCAGACAGAGAGTTGCAGAAAATTTTCAAGTACCTATACCTGACGCGTTGCAATGCCAGGCTTCGCTTTTTCCCTGTCGGCGTCATTCCCTGTGCCACGTGCGCGGCCACGTGGGTCTCCATCTCGCACCTGCTGCTCGTTATGAAGTCGCAACCCGATGAAGGGCAGCTTTTCGTTTCTCCTGACTCCGTGCTGGAGACCGGCGGATGACAATCGACGATGTGCTTCCTCAACGCGGGCCTGGTCGGCGCCACCACTTCGCAGGAACCGCAGGAGTAACCGCGATGAGCGTTGCTCACGTTTGGACTGCTGCCTCGAGACCTGGAAACCGGTTGGAAAAATGCGAGACATGACGTACGTTACGCAGGAAATTAGGCAAGTATTTCTTTAATGGGAATTACGTGCTAAACGTTCGGTCACGATTTAAAAGTAACAAAAAGAGGACTGACTAAATAGCGCAGCATTTTCTAAGGAATACTGATACATCTAGCAGCGCAATAATATTTACAATTCCGATGGACATTCGAAAATTCAGCGAATATGCAATATTTTGCAACAAGGAAAGAATGTTCGGTGACTATTTCGAATGGTTCTCCAACAAGGGTATCAAAGGATTAACAAACATTCGAAATTTCTCAATCGATACGCGCAAAGCGCTATAACTCAACATCGGTCAATATCCTTCGGAGCTCTTGATTTATGACGTCATTTATCTGGAATGTTTCGGGTATCTGAAACGCTCTCGCATCGTCCAACAGAAACGGCGATTTGCCTTCTAGTTCAATGGATGCGTCAATTTCGTTTCATCGATTTTGCGGTGCGCTAAATAAAAGTCACCACTTGAACGCGTTTTGAGTGGTTCTCGCGAGAACTTAGGGGCACATTCAATAAATAAATTGCTTTTCTTAAAAAAGTAATTAATTGAATATTTTTCTACGCGTCATTTTCAATGGAATCACAAATCAAACAGCGATCGAATTTTCACGAAATCGTAGCCAGGACTAATATTCTCGGTCGCAGTAAATTGACTCTAAGGAAATAACGATAATTTCGAATCACCATCTATCGAACTTACAGTTCCAATTCCAGTCATAACTATACGAAATACTTTTTTCGTGTTTTATAATTTTCGTGTTAAAAAGAGCTCAATTTAAATATCGAGAAGCAACGAGTACGCGTAGATAAGAAACTGATGATGCTTAATGGATCCGATAAATCGGAAGGTTTTCTGACCACCTTTGGCCACGATATTCCAAAAATTCGATCTCTCGCGCCGTTTGGTCTCGTCTTGAAAGCGGGCCGTGGCTTCAGCTTATCCGACCCGCCGGGATAAAGAAGAATTTAAACGGCTGGTGCGGGGGCCGCGGCATTAAGTAGGTTCCGATGTAAGCCACTTTGGCTGGAAAGGGTTGGTAACTGGCGAGTATGCATACTTCTCGGTGTAAGACGAATGTTCGCTCTCTGAGTCGCTGTCGGAGGGAATGTTTGGGATCTCTGTAGCCTCGAGGGCCGCCGTCGCCGCAGATAGTCTTCCCAACATGGCGGTGTATGCGCCGAGGACCCATCCATTTAGAACCGGCGTAACAGTTCCTTCCTGTTACAGAAACGAAGTATTGATCAATAAAATGAACAAAACTATCGAGGATTTAATTTTTATTAAATCAGTATAGTGATAAATTAGTATAGCGATAACTCTAAACGTGACAATAAAATAAAATTGAAAATAATTTATAATTCTTATGCCATGTCAAGATTTATCTATTCTTGAAACGTTTATATCATTCGGAGGATAAAAGTGAATATTCGAAAAACGCGCAGTCTAATAGATTCATCCACGCCAATAAATATTGTAGAACTATTTCTGAGCAAATATGCGAAATATCACAATGAAATATTTATATTACAATCAAGCTTCCGTTTTTGCACCTAAGACGACAAAGAAAAAATTCTGAAAAGAAATATACGTGTCGAATCGAGTAATCTCCTCGTTTTCGAAGTCGGTTCAGAATCCAGAATTAGTCGCTTAATTCTTCATACAGTCTACCAACGGAAGAATCGATTAATTTAGATGGCCGCGTCGCGAAACTTCTGTCAGGGAATCAATTAATTCTAGCTGTGGCCAAAGTTCCGAAATGATACACGAATGATGTGTCTGTCGACGCTGGGCCATTCCGTTATTTTTAGTTATTTTGCTAATCGACGTTTTAGTGTACCGTATTTCAGTCGTTATCTGGTTTTCTTTATACCGGCTTAGTTACATTATTTTTCCTCTTTTAGGAGTCGAAGGGACTTCCTGAGATCGATCGAACTCGGCGTACCTTATCGAAAGCAAGGTAAGCCATCGGGTCAAGCAGCTTCGTTGAGAGATTATTGTTAGCCGAACGGTGGGAACTGCTTGTACTTCCGCTGTCGCTTTCCTCCCCGGCGTCTTCGTTGTCGTTGTTTTCTTTTGGTACGGAGATCTGTATAATCAGAAAGAACCGGATAAGGTCATCGATTTTTATTTTAACCTAGACAGTTTGTGGATGTTCTTTTCATACCTGAGCATGAACAAAATTAAAATTAAGTATTAAGTTTTTTTTTATATCATTTGAAAAATAGATATTTTAATAAATCTGTAAATTTGACAATAGCGACGGTAATTTATATCCAAAAGCTTCTGTTTCTTTTTTATTTCAGATGATTTGATACATGTACTTTTTATGCAAAGCATTATTTTTTAAGCACATTATTTTTTAAGCACAGATTAATATATAAACTTGTAAATAATGTTATGAAAGAAACGTCCAAGAGCTTAGTTTTCATTTTGATATTCTGCCATGATCTCTCAAACCTTCAAACTTTATACATTTGATATTACTTAAAATATCTTCTTTTGGATAATATAGTTGTGTTCAACAGAGATTCAAAAGTCCACTGATATCGATAATCAGCGCAATCCTGCGATGAAGCTAGCAATACCGCTGGCGAAATGCCATGAACTTCTTCCAAAAAGGACACGATTTTCATTCTGTCAGGAACGATATTAACAGTAAAAACTGGAATCGCGAATGTCGTAAGGATTTCAGTCGTAATTCTCATCGAATATAACAGGAACGTATTAGTGCGCGGATATTTTTGCGTGGCCCTCGATAAAATGCTTCGGGGTTCACGACGAACAAAAGTAACGTTGAATTAAATTTCAAATTTTTGGTCTATTCTAGGATTTAAATAGATAGCTGAGGTATTAATATTTATTTAATATATAGCAACCACGCTTTGTTTGCGATTTTCGAATCAGTGAACAGGAATGAAAACTCCATTCGTCAAATTATTTGTTTGCGAACGAATTTGCAGGCGATCGATGGATGGATATCACTGAATTAAAGAATTATATTAACCAATTGTTTTACAAAATTAAATTCACTCATGTAATCGCTTCCAATTTAATTAAAATGTTCACATCTGAATTAGACATCATTTTTTCCATATTTTTATTACGTAAATAGCGTATTTCGCCGTTTTTAGTTTTCCTAAGAAATATTCAATTTATATCAACACATAATGCATCCTGCGAAAGAAAAGCGACCTTCGCGAAGAGCGTATTAGGTCAGACGTTACAGTTAGTCGTTATGTAAGGAAAATTACTAGCTGCTGTCTACATTCCACTTACTTGCAGTACTACATTCCCCTTAATCCAAAGACTGCTTTTTTCCTTTTCCTTGTAATATCGTACTGGATTAAGGGGAATGTGCTGCAACAAATAAATTAAACGTAGACAGTGTCGAGCAATGTTCCATTAACCGTAAGCCTCAAGAAAGTTGACTACAACGTCTGATCAAAATACACTTAAACACCTTTCTAAGGACAGCAAATGAAAAATTTTAAGAATACATTCAAGTATACTATTCTCCGTAAAATTAACGAATTTGATATCATCCTTTTAAGAAACACTCTTTATTCGAAGAGAAAACATCCTGCGATATACTTCACCAGATTAGATTTATTAACAATTGTAAGGTGATCAAACATCGCGAGTCTATTGCACCTTTCAGATGTACACTAGCAGTCAATAATTTCGATACATCACAAAGAGCTGTTTTGTAATAAATTCATACTTAATGAAACAGGCTAGTTATATTTGAATTCATCGACAGAGTTTGAAAACAATTGGACAGATTTTCTTAAATTTTTCCTTCGTTAAAATACCCACCCTTAGCAGTGTACTAATTATTCTAAACTTTTAATTTTAACTGCCTTCCATTTCTCTTCCAGTACATCTGACAATTCATTTTTATTTGTAATTCATTCTTCTGTTTTCATAAACTGTTTCGTTGTGAACCTCGTTATTAGGTCAGTTACGAATATCGAGTATTTCTCAACTTTTGGTTCGCCCTAATATAATCTGATACGATTTGCGTGAGTGCATTTTAGGGAATTTTAAATCAAACACTGGACATTTCCGTATTAATTTCGAGTGTAAGACCCGCCTGAATTTTGGAGGCAATTTTTCGAAGAAAAAACTGCATCTTATAGTCCGTAAAATATGACAGTAGTTCCACTCAATTATGTATGTAGGGAAAAATGACAGGTGTAGCGATGAAATTAATGATCGATATCGTATGTACCTGATTATCATTCTCGTCTGGATTTTCGATGTGTCCTTCGTTGTCGTCTAGTGGTTGCTGGTCGTCCTCCCGCTCCGAGTCCTTTTTCTCGACGTCGCCGTCGCTGGAGGCGACGGAGGGTTTCGTGACCAGCTCCATGGGCCCGTAGGGTGGTCCGGGCGATGTAAGCGGTAACGGGACCATATCTGGCCGATGAAGGGCGCTCAGGGCGAAGGCTGCCCTTGGTAGCAGCTGCGTCGCGCTTGGTGGCAGAATCGGGTGCCTTCGGGCGAGACGCGGGTCACCCCAAAGTTCACCCGCGGCGTGAAGACTCCAGATCCCATATTCCATCTGGAACCGTAGCCGCAATTGGGTCAGCGAGGACCGCCGTCGACGATCCTTGCCGATCGTCTGGACGCTCGCGTCGCCCCGCGGAAAGGGATTCGAAGCGACGTCTGAGCAATCTGTTTCGCGACGACTATTTAAAAGGGGGACCGACGACGCGATTAAAAGGATACCGAAAATAGTGCGACCGTTTAATGGGAAAGACGATACTCTCTTGTTCGGTCGGATTATTTCGCCTCGACAACCGTTACGCGGGCCAGACGAATTCTCGCTCGGGATGAAAGATTGATGGGAATCACGAGCCGGGAAAACTGGAAATAGAGCCGCGGTTAATAAAGGATAAGGTCCTCCATCTAGCGAGACATCGATCGTTCGACAATTACCGAGAAACAGATTCGAAACGGATCCGAGAGACGAAGCGGGACGCTTGTTGGCAATTTCGCGACAAACCGTTTCGGATGTCTTGGCCTGGGACGAATAAATAGCGCGAGATATGGTGGAAATGATTCATTTGACGCGTCAACCCTTGGACCAACACTGTCATGAATATTTTTAGGAGGCTACAATTTTGTTTCTATACGAACGGAAAGTTATTTGCGAGTTTAAAATAATATCGACGTCAAGAATGGCTCGACTAAGGAGTGACACTATTTCACTCTCGTAAAAGATGCTAGAATTTTTTTAGAAACGTCAGAAGTACGCTAGAGCGACGGATTCCTAAATCGAGCTAGTCCATTCTTTATGATCGACGAAGAAGTATTCACCAAACTCCTTCGTTATGATAACATAAAAATGACATAAAAAGTTACATATTATCACAGTATTGTACTGGAATTCCTAGTATTATAATTATGGGCACGATAACCTTTTATTTGTTTCAACATTCGACGTTGGCAGCTTATGAAAATTTTGATTAAACAATTTATCCAGCGATCGATTATTGACCCGTAAATATCCTAAGTTTCAAATTTGATACCGGAATTTTAAATCGAATTCGGAACATCAGGCTTCTAAGGGTTAAACAAACGCGATAGATTTGTGTTTTAATATACGCACTTTGACGCAACAGATCAGCATTCGATAGAAACGATGTACTCGTGCTCGGAATTAATTTCTAAAAGGTACCTTATTTTTCAATCCCATAACCCCTTAATGATCGAGTTATTAGCCAGAGACTGGACCGTTGAACGCGGAGGATTATCGATAACTGATGAAAATAATTCAAAGCTGCACAGTACAGACGTAATTATCGCGCGCATTAATGCGTTTGCTTTTCACGGCGATTCCTCCAATACGATATTTAATGAATTAATGAAGATAATTTTCATAAAATGAAAATGGCCCGCGAGCACGCCTCGATGGAGATTACAACGGATTTTCGTAACGAGCCATGGAAATAAATGTACTGCTTCGCAAAGAATCGCCGTCGGGCGAAATTACAGGATCAAAGGTGAACTGCGAAATTGTACTCGTTCTCGTGGAGAGTATCGCGAGTCGCTCGACGGACACCTGAAGCTTCGATCGCGACGAAATTGTCATTCTTGACTTCTCGTCCAGTCATGTTGGAGTCTAGCTGCTAGACTAAAATACACGGGACATTGCAGAAACGAAGTTAATTTATTACAAACAAAAGAAAACCAAGTTCCATAGGATCTTAGATAACTCGTATTACGTCGATTTCTTTACACGAATCTTCAATTGAAAGGCTATTCATTACGCCTTTCTACCTTTGTACGGCCAAAGTTCAGCGAACTTTCGAACATAAAAGTTAAGAATTCCAGAGAAATCGCGAAAAATACGACAAACTGATTGCAGCAATTGCACGTGGAATATACGCAAGAAAAATAATTACAATTACAAGCAGTATTTATTACGCGGGTATATAATAATTCTCCCTTGGTATCCCATGTAACAAGTAAAGGCTTGGTATTACTAGGGGTTGATATTTAATATTTGTTTTCACGTTAACGAAATGAAGCTTCGTAGAATTTTCACGTGCAGAAACGCCGCGTAATTGCTGCGTGTTTTGTAATGTTTAATAAGCGGATCCCCGCAATGGACGAGCCCTGAACTCATTATTTGCAAAACTTCGTCTGCGCTCATTACTCGCAAAACTGTCCAGGGGAAACAGTAATCATTTTAATGACCGTTTCGCGTTTAAAAATTTTCCAAACGAACCGGAGGACTTCTGATTGCGGAAGTTTCTGCGCCGTTTCCATATCCACCCGAGCGAATCCGCGCAAAAATAACACAACAAACGTCTCGACTAATAAATCTATCGATCGACCGTTTTACGAAGCCGGTGCAGTCCGCGGAATGAAAGTTCGTGCGTTACATTAACATGATGGCCGCGCGACGGATAGTTCATTGGCAGGTAGTCGATACCGATACAATGTTAACGAAGCTAATACTTTCGGTAAACACAGAAACGGCGAAGATCGTATCTCGTGTAAATGCCGCTTCAATTATTGCTCGATGCAAAAATAACTATTTCGTGATGACTTTTCCAGTATTCTAATAAGGAGACGTTTCCGGTATTTACATGAATGGTTTAAAAACTGTCTAGCTATTTTGGAGAACATTACAATAATGTACGGAAACATTTTTCATTTATGTTCGGAAATACTCGAAACAAATATCGTGTAATAATAATTATTATAAAAATTTTGCGTGTTTTTCTAGGCTTGTTAATATACCAAAGAACGTAGATCTCATTAACGTTTTACGGAAACTAACGAAAGAAAATTATAGAATCACTGAATTGTACGAAACCTGATAAGAAATACAGGAACAATTTTACATGAATATACGAGTTACGCAGGATGAATATAACATAAAATGGGAAATGGTAATGCACATTTCGATAGTAGGTCACGAGAATCGGTGTACGCGATGTAATTCCTAACGGTGGATCCGCAACAATACTACGCGCACGACCAAACGAAATTCCAGTCGCGCCAGTGGAAGAAGCCCTACGGAATCGGACCAACTGATGCCTCCAATCGCGAAGCGAAAAGTTGAAAAACAATTTTTCACTTATCGAACTTTATTAATATAAATTTCCGCAACAAAATCGATTAAACTAAGTAAATGGAATTTCACAAACTGTTTTTAATGGGTTCGCAGTGGAGAGCTGTACCAAAAGAAAGATTTCCTTTTGCTGCCTGACAGGAAATCGTACTCGATAGAGAGGGCCCCTGAACTCGTCTTTTTTCAACATTTCTCGCAAAGCAGATGTTGCACTTCTTCCCTATTGACGATCGATTAAGTATGCAAATGCACTTGGACAACTTTATCGTGGAGAAGCAAGCAAAGAAAAAGAAAAAAGAAGGTGAACTACAAAACTGCGACACGCGACCCATAAAGTGTCGTTTAGCGGTTATTTTTTGAAAAAATAAGGCAGTCTTTGGAAATGATTGTCCTTAAAAGTAAAGGTCCCTAATGCAGATAAATAAAAAACATAACAAAATGCGTGTAATTCAGACAGTTATTTAATTGAATTCATTTGTTCAAACGTAGAATAAAGTAAAATACAAATGAAAAATAAAATAAAAATATCAGTCCATTCATGAAACAATAAATATATAAAGCTATACTTCTGTCATTTTTGTTTTGGTTTCTATAGGTGCATGAAATCGACAATAATTCTCCACTAATCCATGCACCATAGAGAGGGGAGGAGGGCTTTTCATGCCCTTCTATACTTTCTAACGACAGCTTTACAAAAATATCGCGCTCTGAATACACCTGAATATAGAAGGTTTAAAATTTAATATTCCACAAAAATCTTGAAAATGCATTGAAAGTATACAATTCTATAACCGATTCTTTGAAAAACAAAAAGATTTCCAAAATGGAATATTCTCATATAAAAAGAAACTTACACGTTATTTAATTTCTTTAGAATTTTCAACTATTTTAGCCGATAATCTCGAAATATTAACATGGTGGACATAAAGCAGTTCCTCTTCTGGTGATGCAAGTAACAAGAGCAGGAATTAAGAAAAATTAATTTCAGAACAATACAAAGAGTGATACGTGTAATTTCCTAATCAAACCAATATCTCCAAAAACTTTCTAACAGAAAATACATTCGAATGGTAGAAACGGAAGTCTGATATACATGCAATTAAACCAAAACAAATAAAACTTAACCCTTAGCGGTTCAAATTTCTAACGCGTTGATAAACTGCCAAGTCCGACTTTCTCTTCGCAAATAGAAAATACGTTGTTCGTAGGATTAATCGTAAGCCTTTATTTACTTCAAATACCAAAACTTTAGCCAATACAAGTTTACATCATCGAACGAAATATTTAAATCACGATTCCCAAGAACAAGTTACCGATCTACGAAACGATTTCTTTGAAAGATAAACTACCAAGTAAAACGTAGAAGCATGTTACTCTATAAATTGAATTTACGAATACGAGCTATATATAATTGTCAAATATACGAATATTTCTAAAACGATCGACAGAACTTAAATAAGCTTAGCGATCACCGGTCTCGCAAATGGTAAACAGTTCATTTTCCAGTCGTTTCACTCGGAACAAACAAGATAGTCCCGTGCTCAAGGCACACGGGACAACAACGCCAAAGTTTCCCTGGTGTCTGGGAGGTGTACTCGGACCGCTAAGGATTAACGAACGAGAATCGTTGTTTCTCTTCGTTGAATATAATCAAAAGATCTTACGGATGCCCGTCCGGTGGCCTACCGCAATTCAGGCCGATCGTCATTACGGTAACTCATCCCCCGGTTACCGTGGCACCCGCTACGTGCAAGGACCAGCCCCACGATCTCTCTCTCTCCACGTTACCGGTCGACCGGAAGTTACGGCAGTAGCAACGCGGCTACGAGTGACGTGCACGCGGCCTCGCGGGTACCGCGGCGTAGAGAAATACGTCCGGATACGTGCTGCCGCAGAACGAACTCGCGAGATTCCTGACCATTGGACCGACCCTCGTGCATGCATACTTTAGCATAACGTTCTCTATACAATATCCAGAAAGAGGGACGAGGGGAAGGAACGAGTGGGAAAGAGAATGAGAGAGAGATGGAACGCGGTGAGCCGCGGGATGCGCGGACCAGAGACAGACAGAGATATACAACAGCCCCTTCCCATCCCCCCCCCTCCCCCCCGCCCCGTCCCCGCCGACGCCGCCGCCAGTACCCGCCCCCTCGCAACCGCGTCGTCCTACCTCGCTGACCCCTTCCCGTTACCCTCGCGAATCGATTTGTTATTGTTTTTGTGTCTGCGGTCGTCGCGGCGAGCGGGGCGCGTATCGGTGGGTGGCAGCCCCGGAGACCGGGTTCGCGAG